TTCTGGTATTTTAGACTCTCTTACTAATGGCCTCAGAGACAAGCATGAAAAAGTGAGAAGATTCTCTATGGCAGCTCTAGGTGAATTGCTATTCTACATCTCAACTCAAAATGAGCATAAGGATTTCAAACCACCAGAATCCCCATCAAAAGAAACCCGGTCTGCATCGGGTTGGCAGGTCAGCATCTCTGAATTATTACTCTTAAATGTGGATCATTTGGCTTTTAATTTTTATGGTGTATTTCTAATGGACCAAAGTCCATTGCTTAATCTGAATGTTCTATCTTTCCATTGTTTCCTATCTAAACAGATCCTTGTTTTCTTAAACTAGGTTTCGAATGCCTTGATCTCTCTTGTATCATCTGTCTTACGGAAGGGAGAAGATGACCTGACTCAGCTCTATGCGTTAAGGACGATAGAAAACATCTGCAGTCAAGGAGCTTACTGGGCCACCCGTTTCTCCAGCCAAGATTTGATTAGCAACCTCTGCTATATCTACAGGGCAACTGGGAAACAGGAGAGCATGAGGCAGACGGCTGGATCATGTTTAGTCCGTCTTGCTCGCTTTAACCCTCCTTGCATTCAGACGGTCGTGGAAAAGCTTTCATTGAAAGAAATAGCTTCGTCATTTGTCAAAGGCAGCGCACGAGAGCAGCAAGTCTGCTTAAATCTTCTGAACATGGCTATGATTGGAAGTCATACATTCACAAGCTTTGGAAGGCATCTTGTGACATTGACAGAGGAGAAAAATCTTTTCCCTAGTTTGCTCTCCATCATAGAGCAAGGAACGGAAGTTCTGAGGGGGAAAGCTCTTCTCTTTGTTGCACTTCTCTGCAAAAACAGTAGGCGTTGGCTGACAAATTTCTTCTGCAATGCAAGATTTCTTCCTGTGGTGGACAGATTAGCTAAAGAAAAAGACAGTTACGTGCAACAATGTCTTGAGGCATTTGTGAATGTAATCGCCTCCATAATACCGGGCTTGCTGGATACAATAACCAATGATATCCAACAACTGATGACAGGAAGACGCCATGGACCTGTCTCTCCCCTTAACAGTCGAGCTCCTTTAAAGACTAATGCACACCTGTTCCCTGTGGTTCTTCATCTTCTCGGAAGCTCTTCGTTTAAGAACAAGATGGTAACTCCACAAGTCGTAAGGCAGTTGGCAAATCTTACAAAACTTGTGGAAGCATCATTTCAGGTCAGTAGTTACAACATTGCCATCCCCTTTTATATTTAGTGAAAGCTCTCTGAAATTTTATTTTGCACTAATGGGATTGGTCAATTGCTCATCAACGTTGAAATTCCTTACTTTCACTATGATAATTACTCACTATGATTATTTTCTTGTTAATGTTGCTTCTTATAGGATAGGATTAAGATTTTCATACAACTATATCAGAATTTTCAACTAAATTACTTCTTTCCTCTGTTCAGTATAGATATATGTTTAAGATACTTAGATGTTTTAAGAATCTTCTCTGTTAGCTCTCTTGTCTTAACCACGGGTTATGAAGGCAAGAACACAGTACACTCTCTATAAAACACTTGGTTCAAATTTTCATGACTTGTAAACAATTTTGCAGGGAAGAGATGACTTCCGTATAACCCTTCTTCAAGTTCTAGAATGCATAGCAGGAGATGCGCCTCTGGTTACACAAAATGGTGAGATTATTATCCGTGAGATTCTCCCATCTCTGGCTGCAATTTACAATGGAAACAAAGACGGGGATGCTCGGTTTCTCTGTTTGAAGATCTGGTTCGATTCAATGACCATTCTCTTAACTGAGTGCACTGAAATCGAGCAACAAACATCTGAAGATTTGAAATCAATATCCAACTCTCATTTCCTCCCACTCTACCCTGCACTGATCCAAGACGAAGATCCAATCCCAGCTTACGCTCAAAAGCTCCTTGTCATGCTTGTTGAGTTTGATTACATCAAAATCTCCAACTTATTGCATCATAATACAGTTTCACAATGCTTCGAGTTTCTTCTCGGAGACTTATCAAGCGCAAATGTGAACAATGTCAAGCTCTGCCTTGCCTTAGCTTCAGCTCCAGAGATGGAAACTAAACTACTCTCTCAGCTCAAAGTAGTGAGGAGAATCGGAAATCTGTTGGAATTCGTGAATGCCAAAGACATGGAAGATTTCCTCGAACCCACTTTAAGTCTCTGCAGAGCTTTTCTGCTACGGTCACTTGGGAACAAGAAAGGTCTCAGCTCCAACTACACAAAAGAGCCAACGCTTTTATCAGAGACATCTTTTACATTCGAGGTTGATCCACAGGAATGCATAAGAGACATTGCAGATTTCGGTAGCAACATTGGCCTGTTCTTGCACTTTGCAGGTTTAGATGACGACACAAGCATCGCAGTCGCAGATATTGCCTCTGAATGTGTTGTATTGCTACTCAAAGCGGCTTCGAGAGAAGCCACGACGGGATTCTTAACCAATCTTCCTAAGATCACACCGATTCTGGACTCGTGGCGCAGGAGGAAGAGCACAGAGCTACACTTGTTGGTTCTGAAGAGAGTCTTGCATTGTTTGGGTTATGCTTGCAAGCAGTATCTATCGCAGGCGATGATTTTGTCGATATCAGGACACGATGTCTCGAAGATCAACACCATTGTCTCTGAGATGAAGAACTCAGACGTCACTGGTCTTAATAGCGTTGCCACCCTCGTTGCTATGGAATTGCAGAGATTGCCTCGTTGAGTTTGAAGTTTTCTGAACAAAGGTAATAACAGTTTATTGATAATTAAGTTGTTTTTATCAGTGTTAAGTCTTTCTACAATTTCTTTATCTCTTGTTGCTAAACCAGGATTAACAACAATGACGCTGAGCTGTAGACTTGGAATACGTACGAGGTAAAACAAACGCAAAAAAATGTGACAAATTGAAACCCAGAATCGAGATTTGTCTCTTTTTAATGTATATTTCTTCTCTCCATTACAAATTTTGTACCACTAGTACAATCTACTTCCTTAATATTATCTTCATTTAGACACACATTTGTTGAATGTTTGAGATTAGATTAAAAGGTTGATGGTTAATTAAGATTAACGTAGACTTGTCAATTAAAAGAAGAAGAAAGTAAACATACACTGATCTAAGAAAAAAGGTGAGTTTGCTTGCTTTGAGTAAAAATATTAGGATCTTTTTCTTAGATTTTGCTGAATTATTTGTGTGTTGATAGATAAAAGAGTTCAATTATAATATCATGATGTTTGTATTATTTATAGTAAAAAAAAAAAAAAAAAAAAAAAAACTGAAAGAATCATCCATCCCTTGTGGCTTGTGGAAAGTCTTTCGCTTTTTTCCGGAAAACGATCTATTTCCCCACGAGAACTATCACATCATAACAGATAGAGCCCAATCTATGACCACGTGCTAGATGTCCCCGAAAAAATACTTCTCAACTTATATGTCCCCGAATCCATAGTTTAAAACCTATTTATCCCCAGAATAATAGTTTTCACCTGATTTATCCACAAACATTGGTTTTGTTCGGTTAACTGTTTGCTTAACCAACTAACGAAGACACTAAACCGGAGTAAACCTAATCTAAACCAAATATAATTAAATTATTAGTTAATTGAATAAATAAGTAAAAAGAAAAAAAATACGATGTTCCGGTGATGTCGTCTCCGGTGATGGTGGCTCTGGTGATGTCGGCTCCGCCGCTCCGGTAATGTCGTCTTCGGCGGCTCTTTGCCGAGATTTGCTGGATTGGCTCACTGCTCAAGGAGTTTTGTCACGAAAATAAGTTTCAGGAGGTCGTATCTCTCTTTGATTCAATGGCCAACATGGGATTCAAACCTAATGTTGTCATCTGCAATATTGTGACTAATGGTATTTGCAGAAACAGAGATGTGGATAACACCACACTGGAGATTGTTTACAATTTCTTTATTTTAAAAAAAAATAAAAACTCTGGAATTAGGAGAAGAAGAACGAAGAAGGCGAAGAAAGGGGATAAAACATTTTTATTTTGTTTTAAAATTATTTTATTTTGGTTTTAGTTATTAAAACTCTCTAAATTAAAAGAAGGTTTGGTATAAATGGTTTAGTATCGGCTCAGGATAGTTTTCTATTGGGTTTAGTTTATAAACCGATTAAACCTAGATCTATGGAGAAATAGGTTTCGAACTATCGATTCGGGGATATATAGGATGAGAAGTATTTTTTCGGGGACATCTAGTACGTAGTCATAGATTGGGCTCTATCTGTTATGATGTGATAGTTCTCGTGGGGAAATAGATCGTTTTTCCGCTTTTTTCACTAAATTCTGAGTCTTCAATTATATCTTCCAAACACATCAACCGTTCAAACATCGCCACGTGGTTAACGAAAAGAAACCACTTCGGCACTTCCCCTCCCACTGAACCAACTCCAATGTTATAGACTTTCAACGCAGATGCAGTATTATTTTCTTAGCCAATTAAATTGTATTGTTATGGAACTTTACAATCTTTTGTATAATATAATATGGGGATGATGTTCACAAAAAAAAAAAAATTGGGGATGCAGAAGCAAAAGAAAAAAGAAAAAAATTATTTTATTAGCTATCACACAGTAGCAACCAAAACAAAACTAAATCCATTCTATATCATGAATCATTCATTATTCGTTACTATAAAAAATAACATTAAAAAAAAGGTACTTTATCGATGAAAAAAGGGTATTTGATTGGAAATTTAAAAATAAATATATACATACAGTTTTGCAAACAAGGTCTTCTCTTTAGTCTTTTCCTCCAAAAACTTATTACTCTCTCATTTTCAAAATATAAAGCGTTTTACCTAAAAGCACGCCGATTGAGAAAATTTACTTTTTAAAAGTTCAGCCAATAATAAAAGAGACTGCATAAGAAAAATAATCATAAAATATTAAAATAATATATAATTTACATAAAAACGTGAAAACAACTTATATTTTGGGAAAAAAAAATTTCCAAAACGCCTTATATTTTGAAACGAAGTATTTTTTAAAGGAAAAAAATGAGGAAAGCTTCTTTTATATAGAGACATCATCATTACAACTCAAAATGCACTCCGATCAGTAGATAGAGAGATAGACAGATCCAACCAAAAAAAAAAAAAAAAACTCAACTTTGATTTTCATCATTTAAACAAAAGAAATGGCTTTCTCTTTTCTCAAAACATTTCTCATCATCATCTTCATCTTCATCTCTCTCTCATTTCCTTGTCTCTCTTCTTCTCCGACCATTTCTTCCTTCCAAGAGCTTTCGCCGGAGATCGCCCCTCTCCTCCCTTCCCCCGGTGACGCTTTACCTTCAGACGACGGGAGCGGCACAATCCCATCTTCACCAAGCCCTCCTGATCCCGACACTAACGACGGCTCCTACCCTGACCCGTTGGCCTTCGCTCCCTTCGCTTCTCCGCCGTTTTCTTCTCCTTCTCCGCCGTCTCATCCTCCCGTTGGAGTTTTACTCCTCACCGTTATCTTCTCCTCCGCGTCGCTCGGGCTTCGTAGCGTAATAACACTACTATAGTTCACTTGGCTTATACATCAACGGACGTTTTGGTATTCACGTGTTTGTCCAAATGTATATCGTAAACTATATATATTACATTTTTTTTTGTTGCTTCTTCACGACAATGCGAGATGCTAATCATTTCGATTAAGCAATCATTTGCTTTATATGTAATCACAACGATTAAGTTCACCATTTAATATATTAGGACCAATTGACGGGAAACAATTTACATCGTACAAAATCAGTAAGCATTTGTTACTGTTATTTATGTACATATGCATTATATGTCGTTGTTTAAAAGAGCAATTAAATAATATTTTGGTTAATTAGGAGAATCAATGTTTAGGTGAAGTTCATTTGTCTGTTTCTGCTGTTGCTTTTTCTGATAAAGGGCCTTTTGAAAAAGTTTAAATTATACAATAATATGAAATGCTTTACGAATTTAAAGACCTAACTATATGACTAATGAGTGTATAAACTATATACCAAAGTTATTTTGTTCATATGGTAAAAAACCAAAAGATGAAGAACCTATACATATGTTTACTTCTTGTATTAATTAAAAAGATTTGTGTACTACTACTTTAAAACAAAACAAAAACAAAAAAAATATGAGTAAGATATATGAATCACTCAAATAATTAAAACATGGATATGCAGATTGATTAAAGATAAGATTCTTATTATAAAAATATCATAAATAATATGTAACCATATAAATATAATCAACTAATTGCATTATTCCAAAATTCCAAAGGGTTAGAGCATGCATGTGAGTTGCTCCTGAGTCTTGAAGATGCCAAAGCATAAAAGTGTTCTTCTCCTGTCTCACAGTACTTTTAATTACTTTCTAATTTTCTTAAAACTTTATGTCAAATCAAACATAATAATTTAGTATATAGAAATATATGAGTATAAAATTTAAGGTTATGTGCGTGACAGATTGTATAATCACTAGAATGTTGTGTTGGTGTCCACTTATATTTTGTTTGTCCTTATTGGGAGAATTATGAAGCTCCAACATATATAACGAAAGAACCCACACTCATCAAACTTTATAATCTCTTCATGTTGTTTTTTCTTCGTAACAACTCAACACATGATAACATGTTTAAATATGGAGAGAGCCTTGATGAAGATCGATGTCGAATTTGTACAGAACAGATTAAGGAGAAAGAAAACAATTATTATATTTCAATTTTGATAACCAATGTAAATACTTTAAACATATATTGATTTTTCATATGCCACGAAGTTTGTTTTTTTGATTCGAGATCCTCAATTATATATGAAATAAAATAAAATTAAATAAATGGAAGAAAATACCAGAAAAGATGGGGAAAATGGAAAATTTGATATGCAGGATTTACAATTTCAGCTCAATCAGCGTGACTGTGTGATTGATCCTACATCTCAACCAAAAAACACAAGAACTAATTATTTCAAAACTAAAATTATCATAAAACTCCACAACTGAAGTTTACTCAGTTATGATTCAACTCACGAAATCATGAATACGACTTACATGCACACCACAAGTGTGTTTGTTTCATCTTGTAACAAACACTAAACCGATACCATCCTAAGCTTCAAACCAAGTAGCATACCAAAACATATCTCATATGTCATATCTATCTATTTTGGACAACAAATGTCATATGTTTGATACAGACCACATAAGAAGCCCAAGCCCAGGCCTGTATTCAAAACCCATTAACAAAATCGGGTTTAAGAAACTCAGAAGAAACGCTCCCAGATCCCATATTATTATATCATCCTCTCCTCTGAGTGTGTAGTAAATTACTATGGTTTTGTTTGCATAAGATAAATGAAAGGAATAATGACGGTGACACTACAAAGAGACGTGACCGAGATCATGGCCGGTTTAAAAAAATAATGTATATTAGCTATTAACTATTAAAAAATGTAGATTACAAACTGAAACAGTGATTTTGGAATGCACATAGATAATCAATCATTTGTGGACCACACTGTACTCTACTGTTAAATATACAATGCGTGGAAGTACTTGGAAGATGAGAGGATTAATTAACTGAATTAAGCATCCATACTTATCCAGCTGATTGATTATTATTTTTATTGATATCATATATGCCTTTTCCAATTGTCAACAAATTAGTTAGGTTTGGCTTTAAAAGAAGAAAGGGACAAAACCACGAACGATTAACATTAAAGAAGCCGCTTTTGTTTATCCATCCAATCATTCGCATGAACAAAGCAAAGATGCTAACCCACGCTACTTAGTACTAACCCACCCCAATGTTATTTTTTATATATATAAAGAAATGATCTAAGATTCTAAATATGGTTAATGAATCATAGATATGTGTTATTACAATGGTTAATGTAATTTTTTTTGTCTCGAATGTCTATGGATATGAATATATTGTGTTCAAAAAATATATAGTGTTTGATAAGTTTTGGTTTCTGATTGTTATTTACCCTTTTACATGTTTAAAACTTCAACAAAAAAAAAGTAGTACTTGTTCAGTTGTTGTAGAAATTTGTTTAAAGTTTAAAATTCTGTTTTTTTTTTGGCCTAATGTTATTTACTTAAGGAATGTAAAGCAGACAGATATACGGATGGAATGTTATTTAGAAGTCAAAGTACACAAGTATAGGGAAGGGGTAAGAACTTAAACACCCCCTCGATTTGTATAGCTTTTGTTAATTACTTCTTAGATCTCTTTTAATTCTTCTCCATGATCTAATAATAGTCGAATCGAGATTGCTACACAAAAGAAAAGGAATGACATTGAAGGTTAATAAATAGGAAGGGACCAAATGAAATCGAGAGCATGGCCTACTATGTACTGGTTAGGGCCGTGAATGATGGTTAGATATTTTTAAGTGGACCATAAACCTTCTCATATACTAATATATATACTTTTTGTATAATTTATTATATAGCCCACATGAGTTGTCTTTTTTTTTAGTATGTACGTATTTTAATCAAATACAAAAATTCGATTTTTTTGTAAAAATAAAAATAATTCTGATAGTATTTTATGTGATATGATTTCTTTTTAAGGTAAATCGAACTTAAAAAAAATTTGTCGACACAAATATTTCTAATTCTAACTAATATATTTTAATTTTAAATATTGTGTTCCTATTATAAGCGTTATCTTATCCAACCCACCCATTTTCTCAGCCATCGTTGGTTTTATTAATTTCTTAACTACCATAATTGTATTTTTCCTAATGGTATTGGTAACATAATATTTAAACTGAAATAATATATATAGTCATGCTTTCCTACATTTTGTTATCAGATAAAATTTGTTTGAAACAAATTACATTAATTAAATGCATAAATGTCGTCAGTTGGAACAGAAGAATAGATGTTGTTTCTGTCATTTTATGGATTTATGAAGATGATTCAACATCAACAAAAAATAAACAATTTCAAGTAAAGTTAAAAGTTTTTTTTTTTTTTTGTTTTTATAATGTACCTTTTTTGCCGACTGGTATAATAATATTTACCTATTTAAGAACCAAAAAAATGCAAAAAAACAAAATTTTCTTAGAATGTAATAAAACGTTGATCTCAATAATTGTTGAAATCAATCAATCTACTTCGTTATTCTCAACAACAGCACCACCACCACTTCTCCTTCTTCCACCTAAAACCCGATCGATCATCATCTAAAAACCCATCCTTTAAGTATCCCCACAAGTCGTATGACCTTACGTAGCTTAATCCTTGAGATGCGTTCGAGGCCACATCGTGTGGTCCACGACCTTGCCGCCGCCGCCGCAGCTGCCGATTCCACTCCTGGGTCATCGCAAGATTATCGCTGGTCAGATATCCCTGAAGAGCTTCTTAGAGAGATTCTGATTCGTGTTGAGGCAGCGGACGGTGGTGGATGGCCGTCACGACGCAGCGTGGTGGCTTGTGCCGGCGTTTGCCGTGGCTGGCGGCTACTTGTGAACGAAACCGTCGCTGTCCCTGAGATCTCTTCTAAGTTGACTTTCCCCATCTCTCTCAAGCAGGTTCAAATTCTATTTATCTCTTTCCCTGTCCATTGCGATCGAATTAAGACATAAAGTTGCGATTTTTATTGATCATTTTCAAAATCTTCAAGACTGAGTTTTGAAAACGCTGCGTTTGCATTTGTATTTGCTCTTAAACTCAGAGAGGCTCTTAAACTATGATATTGATTTATGAAACAAGAGATATAAGATCATTTGATTGATTGTTGTATAAGTTTGATTACTGTGTAGTCCTTCTAAAATGTTTGTTTGTTGGTGTAACTTTTTTTGCAGCCTGGTCCAAGGGATTCTCTGGTTCAATGCTTTATCAAACGTAATCGAATTACGCAATCATATCATCTTTATCTCGGATTAACCAACTGTGAGCATCAATCTTTGTTTAGCATGTTCTTAGAGAAACAAACAATATCTATTTGGAGTCTGTTTTCTTATCTCGTGTTTCTGTTTTCTTTTTGTGTGTTCTTGTAGCTTTAACGGATGATGGGAAGTTTCTGCTTGCTGCGTGTAAGTTGAAGCACACAACTTGTACTGATTACATTATCTCTCTACGTTCTGATGATATGTCGCGGAGAAGCCAAGCGTATGTTGGCAAAGTGAGGTGTGTATATATGATCAAACTAGCTCTATTTCATTAAATATGACACATTGGTTACTAGTTTTAACCTATTGGAATTCCAAATTTGTGTGAGAGTGTACTAAAAAGGTTTCAAATTTCTAGTATTGATTAAGAGTGTTATTGGATTATTAGCATTTTGAGCTTGGCATTGATGGATTAGAAGTACTTAACATGATTTAGTAAACTAAATGCAGTTTCACTAAAGGTGCTTTGCATGTTTGTAATTTGCTTTTTCTATCGAAACTCTTGTTGATATGTTGCTCTTTCTAAACTTGTCGAAGATCGAACTTCCTGGGAACCAAATTCACCGTCTTTGATGGAAATCTGCTGCCTTCAACGGGAGCCGCAAAGTTGAGAAAGAGCCGATCTTCTAATCCCGCAAAAGTTTCACCAAAAGTTCCTCTTGGAAGTTACCCTGTTGCTCATATCACATACGAGCTGAATGTCTTAGGATCCCGGTAATGATTATTTTCAGATTTAATTTTCCAATTCGAAAAATTCTGTCTCAACTTAATTACTTTTCTTCAACATCTCTTTGGTCTCCGGTAGACTAGTCGTAGTTTTAAAAATCAAAATTATAGATTCTTGAGAG